AGCACTGGTGAGACCTCCATTATATTTACAATCAGCCCTTTGTATCATTGGGTTACACATTATGAGTTTAATTAGAATAGAAAATATTTTTTTAAATTGCCTGTGCTGAACATGTACAGACTTTATTTTTCCTTGTCATTCCTTTACAAATGCACTATTTGCATAGTATTTGTACTGAATTAGGCAAAAGGTCATCTAGAGATGATTTAAGTATCCTGGGGGTTGAGCGTAGGTTCTGGGTAAACAATGCATCAGGTTATACAAGAGCACTGAGTACCTATTTATTTATTTAATTTGTGTAGTTATTTTTCAGTGCTGGAGATATCACCCAGGACTTTGTCCATGCTAAACAACTGCTCCACCACTGAGCTGTAGCTCCAGCCTATCCAAGATTTTGGAGTTTGGTATCCACAGAGGGTTGTGGAACCAGTCCTTCAAAAAAGGGTCGCTGTAACATGTGACATCATTACCACAGTTGCTGATGTGTCATATGAGGCTACTGGTGTTAATTCTGTCTGGTTTTGTGTACTCAATCCTTGGTCTTCTCCGCATGGGAAGAGTGAAAGGTCCTCTTCCTTTCTCTTGATCTCTCTCCCTCTCTGACTCTACACACACACTCTACTACGGTTCTTCTTCTGAGTGAGGTCTGGTCATAGTGAGACCAGGTTCCTGATTCCGAGGGGCAGTCTTAGTTTTGTGGCCTGAGGCTGGCCCTCACCATGCCCAAGGATGTGGTCCCTACCAACAACTGGCCGTCTCCCTCTTGCATACCTGTGCATTAACCATACGTGGGATACACCAGACACCAGTGCTGTGGGTAACATCAAACTGTATTATAACATTAAATAGCCCAGCCGTCTCCTTGCCAAGGACTTGTGCCCCTCCATTTTTATGTGACATTTTACAATATTGTCCCAGTAGAGGTTTCCCGTGTGTTTCAAGCAGGGATGATGTCTCCGAGAGCAGCTTTCTTTGTAGAATGAAATGTAGATCCAGTGTCCCTGCTTGGAGGTTCTTTCAGGTGTAGTGCTAAGCAGCCTGACCCCCTTTTCTAAAGGACCCTTTCAGGAGTCCTGAGACAGCAAAGGTGAGAGCACTGCAGTGCACAGACATGAATCAAGGACTGGGTCAGGGCAGAGACCTTATCATTATATAGAAGATCAGTGAAGAGGTCCCTTCCTCCTGTCCTCCAATTTAAGAGTGTGTATAATTTCAAGGTGAAGTAGGCAGAAAATCCAGGATACCTGGATGCCGTTAACTCATGAAAGGATTCAGTGTTTCTCCCATCAGGACCCCTTACAATCATTCTTTTAACTTTTGTTTTGTTTTTGGTGACATGATCTTACTATGTAGCCCAGGCTGACCTTGGTTGGTGATCCTCCTACCTCAGCCACTGAGTGCTAGGATCCCAGGTGTGCTCCACCATGCCCAGCTTGTAGTTTACCTTTAGGAGGTGCAGTGGGGCCAAAATGTGCTTCTCTGTTCACAGACTAGAGCTTTACTCATCTTGTTTTCTATACTTTCTTTTTTACCTATTTTCTCTGACTCATTTTATCCATGATTTCTCTGACTTGATCACCAGCATCCTTTCTCTCTCCCAGGTGTAAGCCCGGCCTCTGTTTCTTCTATTGAAGAAAATCTTTCAACTGTTTCTGCTCTTAAACGCCATTCTCTGCCCATTTGGCCTATGGAGCAGTTCTTGGAACCTGGTGGATCTCTGCAGAACATGTGGCTGAATCCTGCTTCCTCCTCACAGACAGACTCTGCCGCAGCACGTTCCTGCCGCCCACCTCAGTTCTCACCAACCCTTCTGTCCCGCACCAGTCTCCTGTCCCCACCTGTCTCCGATGTCCACGGCTGCACACGGTCCTCCTCAGTCCGTACCACCCCTTACCCTTTCTCTCTCGGTTGTACCCCCTTCCAATCTCCTTTCGCATTATTTCATTGTCTTGGAAATCAGAACGTCCTGCCTTATTCATTTGTTTATTTTTTAACCAGGTCTCCCATTTCTCTCCCCTTTCTTCTGCCTCCTGAATGAAGTATATGCTTTCCCAAGCTCTTCTACGCTTCATTCTCTTTATGAACCGAGCTATGCCACTGGCCGAAAGTTGTCTCCAAATGCACAAAGCCAATCTCAACCTCACTCCTGAACTCTTATTCTATATTCCAGATACCTCCAAAATGTCTCCATGTGGTTTCTAGCAAAATAAAAAAATAATTTATTTTGAATTTCCAAACAGCTCATTATCTTACTTTCCAACCAGATTTATTTTCTTGATGTCACTATTTCCACCCCACTCCCCACTGTGCCCCACTTGGTTTGTTTCTAAGTATTGGCATCATCTGTGAGCCCTTCCTTGAATCCAGCTATGTGTCTTTGAGTAAAGTTCTCCAACTAGAATGTAAGCTTCCCGAGGGCAATGACTGGCTGGTCTCACTGTAACTGTTGCCTGCATCTACCTCACTGCCTCAAATAAGGAATCATTATGTAAGGAGCCAGATATCTTGCTCTTTCCTGAGCTCTCGGTTGCTTGCGGGAGAATGGCCCTATCCGTTGATCCCCGGTCTATTATCTGGGCACCTAGCTCTGCGTCTTCCTCATGCTAGAAGCCCCATTTCGCCCATGTAGAATGAATTCCAGCAAAGTCCTCAATAGTCCTTCCCTCATCTTGGAATGAAGTAGAGGGTGTCGGAGTTGCTGGAGTGGCTTCCTTATCCTCCAGCAACTTTGGGGAGTGGTGGGAAACCCCTTAAAGCTCCCCCAGTCTCTGTGAAGTTTCTGACCTTTGCAGAAGCTCTTGGAGATGAGGAGTCAGACATTACTGTCAGTGCCACTTGCTAAATGCTCAGCCTTGAGCACTTGGCTAAGTCTGACTTCTACACCTAGTTCTCTTTTTTCTCACCACTATCTATACTCTCACAACTGCCCTCCTTTTAAAACTTCTGGAATCTGGTTCTCTCCTGTGCCTTTCTTCTATGCTCTTAACTCCTAAGTGCCCTCCCCTGCTCATCTGCAGTCCTGGGATTTCTCTCCCACCCTGGGTGAGGCGGCTTCCTGAGTTGTCTCTGCTCCCTGCCCACTGCAAGGCTCACTGGAAGCTGTGTGGTAGCTGAGATGCAGAACCTCTTGGCTCTTCATCTTTGCCTACCCTGACTGTGCCCTTTTGAGCACTTGGCTAAGTCTGACTTCTACACCTAGTTCTCTTTTTTCTCACCACTATCTATACTCTCACAACTGCCCTCCTTTTAAAACTTCTGGAATCTGGTTCTCTCCTGTGCCTTTCTTCTATGCTCTTAACTCCTAAGTGCCCTCCCCTGCTCATCTGCAGTCCTGGGATTTCTCTCCCACCCTGGGTGAGGCGGCTTCCTGAGTTGTCTCTGCTCCCTGCCCACTGCAAGGCTCACTGGAAGCTGTGTGGTAGCTGAGATGCAGAACCTCTTGGCTCTTCATCTTTGCCTACCCTGGCACTGTGCCCTTGTCCTCTCGAGTGTCTTTCTCCATATATATATATAGAGATATATCTAGATATATCTCTCTCTATATATATGAATAGAGTTACTTAGGTGAAGGTTGAGAGGTGGACATAATAAAAACACTATGAGGTGTCCTGAGAGAGTATAATAAAGGGAGTTTTATGAGGTATGACAACTTTAAAAAGTTAATGAACCATTTGGCATTTTCTGCAACAGTGCTGTCAGCAAGGCCCACCCTCCAGGGCACAGGGGATCCATCGCTCTTCCCCCACTTGTGGAAACAGTGGCAGGGACATCTCCTTGTGAATGATACATTTACATCCTTTTGTAGTGGAGACGGAAGTCTATTTTCCTTTTCCCCTGAGTGCCCTGTTTAGAACTGTCTTAGTTCCCTGAGAAGAGTAGAATGTGCCCAAATGAAAGATGGAATCTGGATTCACTCTGAGGCAACAGTATGACATTGGTGAACAAAACATTGCCATTTTCATCGGAGACCTTGATCTTCTCAAACCTTGATGTCTCACCTAGTGTGAGAAGACAAGACAAAATCCCCGTAGTATAAACTTCCGACTGTGGAGCCTGGCCAACTCTGTGTTCCTGTTGGGCACCCCGTATCACACACTCAACACCACTGTCTGGTTTAAGTTCTCAGCTAGGACAACTTTGGATCACAGTGACCTTGAATGTGTCCACCCTGGGACCTTTAGATTTGAAGCTTGCTCGCTTTGGACTTGCCTAAGCACACTCCGCCTTCCTTTGGTTTTAGGGCTGCTGCCCTGTGTGGCTATTTTTTAGGAGCACAGGGACTAGAGTGTAATACAACCCTTGAGGCCAGTTGTAAACAAGGGTTATTTAAGTAGCTTCACCAAGTATCACACTACCTGCTAGTATTATCTTTTCTCAAGTTGGTGTGAATCTCGAGGCCCCCATATAAGTAAATTGTAGGCTGGCTGAAGATAGCAGTTAACCTCCATTGAAGTTCTGTTACGTAGCCTTCCTGGTCTTCTCTGTATTCCTAGATAGCAGATATTAGTCTTCCCATTTTACTGATGAGGAAATTGAGTCTTCGGGAAATTGAATATTTTGCCCAAGTCACACAACTAGTAGGTGGTAGGGTTAGGACTTGAACACAATGCAGCCTGGCTGTGGAAACACCAAACTCCTGAGCAACCATATAATTCTTGGTTACAGGGAGATTCTTAGACTTAGGCTTAAGAGGTTGTGGTATCCAGTGCTAAAGGGTACCCTGAAGGGTAATGCATACCTTAAATGCTTTCCATTTTACCATCTTCACTTTCAAAGTGGGCATGAGCAAGAACCAAACTCATGATATTTTTAAACAAATAAGTCTATCACACCCAGTACTCACTGCAACCCCTCCCGTTGCTACTATGAATGCTGCTTATTCCTGAGATTAGAAATGCTTTGCCTCATTTAATCCCCCACCCTAAAGAGCCTCTGTGACTGGGAAACAGTATTCCATAAATGAAGGTATTTGTTCAAGTCAAATCTTGTCTTGTTTGCAGAGAATGGCAAATCAGTCCATTGGAAACTGGGAGCTGATAAGGAAGTGTGGGTCTGGGTGATGGGCGAGCACTCCCTGGACAAACCCTACGACGAGCTCTGCAATGAAATCATTGCTGAGAGGGAGCGGCAGAGAGCAGAGAAGGAAGCGGAGGAGTTCAGGTAGGGGATTGCAAACCAGTGAGAGACTGGCCAGATTTTAACAGACACTGCACAGATGCCCTGGGCTCACAGTGTCTGGTGGGTTCATAGGGCTGTGAAAATTATTTTAGATCTTTCTGCGAAGTGTCTTCACATGCTCAGCTATTCTCTTTATTCCCACAATTCTCTCACGTCTGCTGCTCCTTTGCCACTTGCCATCCCAGTGCTAGTCTGCCTGAATATGCAGCTTCTCCACTGATCATCACTGCTCTTACAGAACAGTGCGGGTGTCATAGTGAAGCCTCAGGAGCATCAGCAAGAACTACAATGGCATCCAAGCTTCAAGCCTCCAAAGAAGATTGCTTGGATGTGGGCAGCTGGATACACAGGCTCTTTAGTTGCCCCGCTGTGTCAGACATTAGGAACTCAAAGAGAAACAGGGAGCTTCCTGTCTAGGAAGAGAAACAGGAAGACGTAGCTCCGACTGCAGCTGATGCAGGCTCTACTGCGAGCTTTGGTTAAGGTATAGACAGAGAAGTTACCTAGACAAGGTAGGGGTCTATCATTCCAGTCCACATAAGAGGCAAACTCTGAGCTGAGTTTGTAGCTACCGAAGGCCAGGATGGAAAGGTTGGCATAATTAAGTTCCCCTTAACTTGACTTTAAGTAGCTTTTGGGGTAATGGTGAGTTCTTTGGAGCATTTAGCATATACCTGGGCAAGTGGTAGGAGACAGAGGACCATGCTGTGAGGTACCTCAAATGCCTGATATAGGGGTCAGGATCATCTTTGCACAGTGAGGTTTTGAAAGGGACATGATGTAATCAACTGGACATAGAAGAAGGTGTCTCGGAGGGCACCCTGAGGCAGGCAGTGATTCTCTGTGCTACTCAGAGAGTGGCCTCTGTAAAGTCCTCTTCCCTTGGATGCCTCCTCTAGCTCTGGGCAGTGGTGTTGACAGCCTACTCTGAGCTGGCAAGATGGAAATTGGAGCAGTCATTCAGGACCTATTTAGTCCCTGAGGGCTGGTGATGCTGCTCCCAACTCCTGTGATTTTAAACTGTAAATACACACAGGAAGGTAATGGGAGGATTTGGTGTTGATCGTAGGAAGATGCTGTACTCTACCAGCCTAGCTTCTGAACTGGGAGTTGGGCAGACCTGGGTTCAAATCCTGGCTTTGACCCTGGGAGGTATTAGATAAATTATAAGATTTTTTTTAGCTTCTCTACAAAGCAACTATAACAAAGTTTTCCTGATAGGGTTATTGTGAAGATTTAGTTCATGTCTTTAAACACCTAGCAAAGAGCCTGATAGATTATTAGCAGTATAGTCACCAATCTGTTACTGGTTTCCCCATGGTTTAAAATTAGACATTTGGTGTGGAAAAGCTGCCTATGCTGAAAAAATACTTTTTGCTCATTTTGCTCTGATTTCTCCTCAGAAAATCTCAGTCTGACAAATTCACCAGTAGCCTGAAAGCAAAATCACAGTACTACAATCTTCCTGCACCAAATAACACGTGTAACAGAGCAGCAGAGGAGGAAGTGAGGCAAACATCCAGACCAGCACCAACCTTCAAAGAAGAAAATACCAAAGTGAGTCTTGTGTATATGCAAATGTGCAGAATTCCATAATGGGGGAGACACAGACATTGAGGCCGTTAGACAAATGTAAGCATAATCAGGACTTCCATCTGGATTTCCTGGGAAAATATCTCCTACACCTAAGGTCTTGCCATGTATTTCATTTTGGGGGAATTGGCTCATGAAAAAGATAAAGCACCCCCCCTTTTGTGCTAAGGGATCTAGAAATACAGTTTGGTATTTAAGAATAGTTTCGGATTTTTTCCTCATTAAATGTCTTCTATAACAGAGGCCAACAAACTTTGTTTCCAGAAGGCCACACAGCAAACAGTGTAAGCTTTGTGAACACAATGAGTGAGTATGGCTGTGTTCCGGTGAAACTTCACTTCGAAACCCGGTCACAGGACTGGATTTGACGTATTTGTGATTTACATTGTCTGATTGAGGGCCCCTGCCCCCTTTTGTTTTTTTCAGACTCAAAACATCAGTGTCTTTTTTGGCTTCATGGATTCTGCCTGTGATTGTGGGGAACAGTTATTTCTCCAATGCCATGCAATTTTATCCTCAGAATTATTAACAAATTATCTTGTGGTTCAGGTGGTTCAGAAAGCTCTAATATAATTTGCTGCTTGGATTACAGTTTGAAAGAACAACAAAAAATTCTATTATGAGGTGCCTTTTTCTGCCAGAAGTTTAATTACACTGTGAGTTAACGGGATTTGCAGTTGTGTGACTTCCTTTCCAGTCTTCAGTCTTGTTACACTGGCTGTGTGTACTCTTGATGTCTTTGAGGCTGTCAAGTGGGGATACAGTATCTGTCCTGACTACTTTATGGGGCTGGTAATATTCTTATAATTAATATGGCACCAGAGGCATTACACAGCCAGGTACAAATGGACTGGTGAGTGTCTCTTTTGGTGCTCATAGCATGATGAAGTAGAGTCCGTCTGCATCTGTCCATTTTATAGATGAGGAAACTGAGGCTTGATCAACCTGCCCAAGGTCTTATTTTCACTGAGGTCTACAGGATCTCCAGGTCACTCCTTACATTAACGCTTGTTCTTGATCACCTCATTAATATGAGACATGTAAAGAAGCTTTATTAAGTGCTGCAAAGTTGAGGTTCCAAATAGTTATTTCAAAATTCTAAACTTTGTTTTATGTCCCAGGGACAGCCCTGAGGACTTTCTTCATAGGTCAGTAAGGCAGCCAAGCTTTCCCAGGCCTGGTATATACTCACCATGCTTAATATTGCCCTCCTAAGCAGCCCCCTTTCTAAAAACCTAAAAAGAAACAACAATGACAATACAAATCCTCCTTCAAGAGCATGAATAAAGTATACTTACTTTTGTGCTTGAATGATGATATTTTCTAGTAAGTTTTTTTTCAAAAGTAGGACAAAAGATTAAAACTGAAACTAAATAGATACCATGGTTGTCACTCTTCGGGTATGACACATTACAAGGAGAATTGCATTGCTCTATTCCTTCGAGGTCTGTTTAAGGGCAAATAGAAAGAGTTGGGGTAGGGGGTTCAGAGATCTTTAGGTACAAAGAATACGGAAATGAATGGGTGAGGGATTTTTACACTTCTGCTTTTCATCATTCCCCATATCAGAGAAGATCAGCCAGCATCACCCACGATGTTCACTGAAGTTCTGTTTGTCAGCAGATGCTGAAGGAGGCTGATGATGATCCCAGCTAGTGCAGACGTTTAGATGGCAGGCTGTCGTCTCTCATGTGTACCCTCCACTTAATGGTAGATTTACATCTTTATTTTAAGCCCTGTGTTACTATAGTAGGTTGGATACTGTCTCCTAAAATTCATGTCCACCCATACCCTCAGGATGTAAACTTATTTGGAAATAGGGTCTTTGCAAATGTAATTAAGTTAAGGATTTCAGGATGAGATCATCCTGGATTTAGGGTGGACTCTTAATCTGATGACAGTTGTCTTTTTTTTTTTTTTTTTTTTTTTTTT